TCTTCATCGGCAATCTCAACCGAAGAAATGGTGGACTCAGAAACAATCGCAACAGTGAATACTTAATGTTTCTTTTGCGGAGGTAGTCGGCATCTCAGAGCGAAATGCCCTGCCAAAGACTGCATGTGTCATTCTTGCGGGAAAAATGGACATTTTTCGAAGGTTTGCAGGTCCCGCAACACACCTATAACCAAAACAAAAATCAAAACATCTCCTAGCCACGAGATTAAAAGACAATCTTGTAAAGATTGTAGCTGCATAAAGGACTCTACACATCTAACATCACTTCGTCTGTACCTGGTTTAACTAAATCAACAATACACATATCTGTAAATGGCGTGAACCTAAAAGCCCTAATTGATACAGGTAGCGGGGAAAGTTACATTTCTTCAAACATACCAAGAGAGTATGATTGGTCAGTGACACGTTCAAAGCACAAAATTTCTATGGCTTCATCTCAACTGTCAAGCGTCACAAGAGGCCACATGTTTGCATCGCTAAAATACAAAGGGGAAGTTTACAATCAATTCAAACTTTCGTTACTAGATAAACTTTGCACTGATGTAGTGCTTGGGTTGGATTTCCTCGCATTACCCAAAGAAATGATAATTCCATTCAACGGTGGTCGACCTGCATTTCATGTTTGCTCGCTCAATGCTGTTAAGGTAGAGGCACCACTATTGTTTGCAAATTTATCCCCTAACTGCAGACCTATTGCTACTAAATCTCGTCGTTACTCCTTCCAAGACACACAATCTATTAAAGCTGAAGTTGAGAAATTGATACGAAACGGTATCATTGAACCTTCCAAATCACCTTGGAGAGCTCAAGTCCTAGTCACGACCAATGAGCGGCACAAAAAGCGAATGGTCGTTGATTATAGCCAAACTATAAATAGATTTACTTACCTGGACGCTTACCCCATGCCAAGAGTGGATGAAATGGTGGAGAAAATTTCCAGGTATGAAATCTTTAGCACATTGGATCTGGAGAGTGCTTATCACCAAATACCTATCCAACAGAGCGAAAAGAAATACACAGCTTTCGAAGCTTGTGGTAAACTCTACCAGTTTTGCAGAATACCCTTTGGGGTCACTAACGGTGTAGCTTGCTTCCAGAAAACCATAGGCACTATTATAGAAAACGAAAAGTTGTCTGACACGTTTGCCCATGTCGACAATGTAACAATATGTGGTACAGATGTAGACTCTCATAACAAAAATCTGTTGCGTTTTCAGAAGGTAGCAGAGGAATACGGAATAACTTTCAACGAAAGTAAAAGTGTATTTGCTACTAAGAAGGTAAAGCTGCTTGGATATGAAATATCCAAAGCACATTTGAAGCCGGACCCTGATAGATTTCAAGCTCTGCGAGATTTGCCATCTCCTAAAGATCTGAAGTCTCAGAAAAGGATTGTAGGACTTTTGGCATATTATGCTCACTGAATACCCAATTTCTCCAACAATATGTATTCTATAATGAAAAATCAAATTTTTCCTGTACCTACAAAAGTAAAAACAGCGTTGGAAGACTTGAAACAAGAACTGCAGAAAGCTGCAATTTTCACCATAAAGTATGACCATCCTCTAATTGTGGAAACTGACGCTTCTGACATCGCAGTAGCAGCCACTTTAAATCAGGATGGAAGACCTATTGCATTCTCTAGAACTCTTTCTCCTAGTGAAAGGCATCAATCTGCCATAGAGAAAGAAGCAACTGCAATAATTGAAGCTATAAGCAAATGGAAGCATTATTTGTGTGGCAATCATTTTACCCTTACTACGGACCTGCTGTCTATTTCATACATATTTAAAGACACTCATGACAAGAAAATTAAAAACGATAAGATACAAAGGTGGAAATTGGAATTGGCAGGCTTCAAGTTTGATATACAGTATAGACCTGGGAACGCCAACACAGCAGCAGACACCTTGTCTAGAGGGCACTGTGCAACTATGACGAAACAAAGTAGCCTGGAGACGCACCATGACTACCTGTGTCATCCAGGTGTCACTAGACTTCTACATTATGTCAGGTCAAAGAACTTACTCTTCTCGGTTGAAGAGGTCAGACAGACCATTCAACAATGCAGAACCTGCAATAGAATTAAACCGCAATTCTATAAAGGAATTTGCAGGTACGCTCATAAAGGCCACACAGCAGTTTGAAAGAATTAGTGTTGACTTTAAAGGTCCTTTGCCATCAGCTACTCGGAACAAGTATTTATTAACAATGATTGACGAATGTTCGCGGTTTCCATTCGCTTTTCCCTGTCCTGATATGACATCAAAGACTGATAAAGTGCTTCGACCAGTTATTTTTCCTCTTTGGAACACCCAGTTACATCCACTTTGATCGTGGCACATCATTTATGTCCACAGAAACTACAGAATATCTACATTCTAAGGGCATAGCCACTAGCAGGACAACGCCCTACAATGCAAAAGGAAATGGGCAAATAGAAAAGCTGAATAAAACATTGTGGCAGGCTATTTTATTGGCATTGGACTCAGGGAAGTTGGAACTATCACAGTGGGAATCTGTGTTGCCTCAGGCACTTCATTCAATTCGATCATTACTGTGTACTTCTACTAATGAAACTCCACACAAACGGATCTTCAAATTCAACAGAAGATCGCCAAACGGGAACATCCTTGCCTACTTGGCTACAGAACCAAGGGAAAGTATTACTAAAATAACCCGTAAGATCTTCAAAATTTGACCCGTTGGTACAAGAGGTTGAACTTATTAGCTGCAACCCACAGTACGCCCATATACGATTTCCAAACGGCCGGGAAGAGACAGTGTCACTTAGGCACCTGGCGCCGAAGGAAAGTTCCACGAACGACTATTTCGAACCAAAGAACTGTATTCTGCCTCAAGAGGTCGGTGACTCTTTGGATATCTCACCAGGGAGTCGCTACGTGCCTGAAACTATCAGTCCTATGAGTCCCACCCCAATGATGTACAACCAGCCAGAAGTCATCAGTGACTCACAGGGGAGCCACCCAATGCCAGAGGCCAAAATTGACTCGAGTCCCGTACAGGACAGTTACGACTTGCAAGGAGAAAAGTCTACGCCAGAGACACCCCCGGACCCTTCCCTTCATACGCATGGTTATAACCTAAGACCCAGAAAGAAATAAAGGAGGGGTGAATGGAGTGATCGTTAAATGAACTTGTGTGTTACCCGTGCTTGTAATCGTGCTAGTATATGTAATCGTGTTCGCATTATCGTAGTCTGTGAATCGTGACCAGTCTGTACTGTGTTATTGTGTATCAGTCGTGTCTTATTGAAATAAAGCCTTGTTTCTAGTGTTATGTATTGATTTAGTATATTACACAACGCTTATAAGGAACTTTAAATTTACTCAGTTATGGTATAGTTACTGTAATACGGCTGACTACGCCGTGTTTGCTCTAGACCTAGATATAGTCTCCAGGCAAATTTCCTTTTTTTAATTTACTTTGAAAAAATGATAACGGTCAAACTAGAGTTTTTCCCGTGTGGCCAACTAGATAGTAATTCTTTTCTCAGCGATATACATCAACTATTAAATTTATAGGAAAAGCATTAGAACTGTTTTTGTGATCAGCTGTCCAGGTTCCTATATCCAGGTTAGAATAGTTAGTTAGACTAGAGGTATAGTACAATTGTATTGCGGTTGCTGTTTGGACACCTACTGTTATTGTATCTAATGAATCAATGTAAGCCGGATATATTCGTTTGGGTGAATACATAATGGAGATTTTTAACTACTAAAAATTAATAATAAACGCTAAAATACAAAAGTAGGCCTAATATTTTTTTCAAAAAGCTGCCGGTACGCCGTACAGGTGCATACCGTCACAAATAGGCCCTGTATGTATGTATATATATATATATATATGTATATATATATATATATATATATATATTGTCAAACACACATTGATATATACACTTTGTTCGAAAGTTATAAAGAGAGCACACAAAAAATATAGTGGTCTGGAAGTTATGTACTTGTGAAACTGACATAAATGATTATACTATTAAAATTATAGTGATTATATTACGACCTTGAACACTACCAATGCTCAACGGCCGCTATAGTTTTATGTATTGTTTAACATCTTTCTTTTTTTTTTTTCAGATTGTCTACCATTAAAGAGGCGGCGTCAAAATCGCCTTAGAAGAATAGGATCTCACTGAGCCTCTAACGTGAAGCCCCCATGTACTACACGGATATCATCAACAGATTCACAGACCCTATCTGGCAAGAAGAGAGCGGACATTTTTTTTTTTTTTGGTCAAGGCTGGCCATGTCTTCTCATCAACACAACCACGTGATGCAATCGCTTTGACGTAAACAAGAAATTCTGAGTCCCAAATGCCGCCAAAACTTGAGGGTAGTCAACCATTGGTGGCTTTCCACAATCAGATACCACTCCATCCCCCCCCCCCCCCCCCCCCCCCCCCGACGAAAAGGTTGCTCGTCAGTCGCCACCTTAGTCATTTTTATAGACCAGTGGTGCACACCCAGACCCAGACGACTACTACGTCTGCCAGGCCAGACATTTTGTCTAGACACCCACATCACGTATCTTCCTTAGGTTAGCTTCAAAACATGACAGACGAGCTTCAGAGATTCGCCCAAGTGTGATTTTCTTGACCGGTCTTTACAGCCTCGGGGTCGGCGTGTGCGCATCTTGACCGAGGAATTTTGAAGAAATGTGAATTCTAGAATTAGCAGGAAATATATTTCATCTCTTTCGCGCCAGTCTTGTTGAGTGGCTACATGTTTCAGAAATTAATGCTTTAACTCCATGTCATTTGAAAGCCCATGTTCAACAGAGGAATTTCACACTTTGAAATGAACACTTCAAGTCATTTCCAATGAGCTAAACAACAAGGGAGGATTGCAAATCACGCTCTCTGGTTTACCTCAGAGATGCACCATAAACTATGATGGTCAAGTTCATCAACAAGCATGTTATCGGGGAACATCGTATTTCAGAAAAAGAAAGAGAGTTATTTCCCTTTCATGCGAAATCCATTATCTTCTTGTTCCGTGCCTCTCGCGTTCCTTACAAAATGGTCTGTGACTTTTGAGTAACATGGCCAGCAGAAAGAGTGGGCGTCAGAGAACATGGATGAGAGGGGAGGGACGGAAGAGAGAGAGAGAGAGAAAAAAACATATGGGGGAGAAAATGTCTGGAGCATGACTCAGGCTTATTGATTGGTCAGAGAATGTCGTGGGCTGGTCACCTGACCTCCTGTCTGGGGGGGGGGGGGGATTTTTTTTTCTTTTCCACCAATCGTATTCAGTCTTAAATCCTGAGATGTTCCCCGCCCTTACCCACCAACAAATAGGAGAAGGGGAACGAAAGTGATGAGAACGCCATGTGTACATTGCCCAATCCGCTCCTTGACAACACGCTGACTCAGCCTTTCAGGATAGGGGCACAGGGGGAGCTGGATGAAACCGAAAGTACCAGGACTGGCTATCTGTAGTCGCAGAGCTAGTGCTCCTCACCAAAGACTATTGCATTGCTCTATAGTTTATATACTCAAAAAAACAAAGATTTACTGCTGCAGGGGTAAACGACTGTATAGAAAATACGAAAAACATGCATATATGTAACCCTGCCGGACCAAGTAAAACAAAGGACGTTTGGGCCACGATGTTGTTCTCATCGGACAGATAAGTTAACTTAAGACTATTTTGTGTTAATTGCTTTTTATTTTTTGTTTGTTTTGTAGCTGATGAAGGCCTCGTGGCCCAAACGTCCTTTGTTTTAACTTGGTCCGGCAGGGTTACATATATGCATGTTTTTCGTATCTATAGTTTATATGTAAGGCTATGTGTATCTCAAAAAGTACCGGTATGTGGCATTTGATGTTGAATACTGTTGTCGTATTAGTTTATGACTGTACAGTGTATACGAAAGGTACTTATTAGTATTAGTGCTTTATTCGCCATGTCGTTAGATGAGGCAGAGAATGTAGTAGTCATGTATCTGTCTTTAGAGGTCACATGTAGATGATACATAGAAAGATAGGTGGCTCTCAATCTATTAATCTTAGCCGTGACCGTGGACGCTTTTAGATGATAGGATTCTTAAAGCATATTGCATAGAAGTCATTTCGGACGCTATTAACTTATATCAAGCTCCCCACCCCATACCACTTTTCGTGATTATTTGGGTGGCTGCCTGGTCGTGTGGTATGCGCACTGGACTGTCCTTTGGCCATCTCGATGGTCCCGAGTTCATACCCTGCCCACGTCTACCCTGCGGGAGATTCGGGCTAGGGTGTATACGTTACTATATGGCGTGTGAACATCCGAAATATGTAAGCTAGTTTACAAACATTTAGATATATGTATATATTTTATAGTTTCTGATTTGTAAAATTTATTTACAATTTTAACAATATTTTCAACGCAATTATTTGTAGTACTATTAATGACTATTGACTTTGTGTGTATGTCTACATCTTCCTATCTTCATGGTACAGTCGATAACAACTAAGCTTAACAAAAAGCATATAATCTTAGCAGTGATTGTTGTGATTGATAGATTACCTCCCTTAGCACTTCTGCCAATTCATGTGAAAAACTGTAACCAAAATCTTAATGTGCTACTTCTATTGTTCACACATTTGATATTAGAATCATTAGGTCTATTGGTTTGTGGATAGTGTTACAACTAAAGTGTTACTCTTATATATAGAAGATATATCTTGATATTTTAGTATTGCATCATTAGAGATATTGGTTGGTGTTCCAGTCAATTGTGAACCATCCTAATCTTGCATAAAAACTTAACACGGTATGCGACACCGTGCATACATGTCAGTGCAATCAGCTGAGTGCGGTCATATGACTTACAATTGATATTTGTATCTTTGTTAGATCAATGCCTGACTATCGCAGACAGCATCCAATGTTATAGACTGAGCTGTGTTGTAGTGGTCAAATAGAAGGGCTGTGATAGACTGAGCTGTGTTGTGGTTGTCAAATAGAAGGGCTGTGTTAGACTGAGCTGTGTTGTGGTTGTAAAATAGAAGGGCTGTGTTAGACTGAGCTGTGTTGTAGTGGTCAAATAGAAGGGCTGTGATCGCTGTAAAGAAGCATCATTTATTTTTAGCATTGAATTTGTGGTGTGTCTAGGCTTATATAGAAATAACAATATATAGTGTTCTGTGAGGTTGGTCTGCATATAATTATTTACAAGCTTCTAACATCATATTAACAACTGGAGCACTAAATACCAGCTTAGAAGATTATATGCAGGCCTGAAAGATTATATGCAGGCCTGTAAGATTATATACAAGCCTAGAAGATTAAATACAGACATGGAAGATTATATGCTGGCCTGGGCAATTAAAAAGATGCCTGGAAAATTCCATGCCGGCTAGGAAGATTATTTAAAGGCCTGGGCAAGCGTAAGCAGGCATGGAAGAATGTATACAGGTCCAGAATGTTTATTCAGACCATGAATATTATATACAGGCCAAGAAGATCGTATACAGGCCTGGAGAATTATATGCAAGCCTGATAGATTGTATACGGGCCTGAAGAATTATATGCAGGCCTGGAAAATCGTATGCTGGACTAGAAGATTGTATTCAGGCCTTGAATAGTGTCCTCAGACCAGGAAGATTGTATACAGGCCTGGAAGATTGTATGCTGGACTAGAAGATTGTATACAGGCCTGGAAGATTGTATGCTGGACTAAAGGATTGTATTCAGGCCTTGAATAGTGTCCGCAGGCCTAGAAGATTGTAACTTGTTTTCAACGTTGTACTAAATGTATTTATTTGTGCAGTGGCGTATCATGTCTGCGTGACGTAAGAGAGAGGTCCAATTGGTCCCCCACATGTTCAACTAGTGTCAGGAAATACCAATTCAAATTAATATCATTTAGAATTTAGATTTTTTTTTTAGTGCTTAAATGGTATTTACAAAATAATTTTAATCTCCCCCCCCCCCCCCCCCCAGGTTAAATAAGATTGCTACACCTCTGACTAAATATTACGTCATTAAGAAGAAGTATATAGAAGAACTATGAAGGGGAGGTAAGAGAGGGAACTCTGCGCTGCTAACAGTGTCACCGGTGTCTGCCACACGGCTAATCAGACAAATCTGGACATCAACCAACGCGCGAGCGCGGTGGAGCTGAACGAACAGTTGTGGGCCACACATTTATTTTTTTTTGTTGCTGTTGTTGATGTTAGCCTCGTGTGATGCTGCACCGCCAACTGTGACACAGAACCAAAGGATGTGGAAAAAAATTAGCAGACACCAACACTTGTTTGACCTTGACCAGTAGCGTAGTTTCCTCAGCGTGTAACAACCCTATCACCTCGTCTACAACATATCCTATGTACAGCATTCGTCACGTGTACAGTTCTCAATCATTTGTACAGTGTACAGTTGTATATATTTGTGCCTAAAATCCTCTAGGTTTTTTAAATCACTGTCTTAAGTTTATTTATTTTGAGTATGGTTTAAAAGAAAATTGTGTTTCCAGTTTTTAAGTTTTTTTTATTATCCAGTTTTAAGTTTATTTATTTTATTTTCGAATGTTCTGTTCATGACAACATCTCACGATGTCTTTCCACGTTTGTAAATAAACTGATTTTTTAAGTTACAAAAAAAACAAGAACATCTGTACATTCCCATATTTCATACATTCTATGTAAGCTTAGAGTGTAAGTTCTACAAGAGTCTGGACACGCTCCAACACAGGGTTCCCACTCTGGTCTATGTGGCTCGTTCGAGATCTCCCAGTCGTTGTTTTCCTATTTTTTTGTTAGCTTGAGGGGGGAAAAAAGATAAAAGAAAGCTTGTTGTGTTTTTTTTTCATTTTTGACGTTTTTTTAAATCAAAGAAATTCCTGAACGTTATGTGAATAAACTTTCTTGACATGTAATAATTATTTTGTAAATGTTCAAACAGTGTATCTAAAGAGCTGACATGGTTGAGCTAGATATATTTAGACTTTGTCTTATGACACTGTTCCGAAGAAATTATGGGATATTCACATTCTGAAACCGGACCTAAAAACAAATGTTTCCAAGCGATGTAACGTGTTAATGGGTTGCTGTACGTGTAGTTGAGTGGGTTCAGGTTAGTGATGGTCTGATTCTACAACTATAAAGGGTTAGGTCTTTTAAAGAAGAGTTTTGGGACATAGAAAGGTAGGCTAACATTAAGAAAGTGTTTAAGTCACCACCAATAAGTTGGCCAACATTAAGAAAGCGGCTAAGCCACCACAAATAGGTAGGTGAACAAACAGGTTGCGCAACAAAAAGAAAGTCGTTCAGTCACAATAAATAGGGATGTGGAAACAACAAAAGGACCAAGTCACAATTACAAAAAAAAAATCAACGTAGGAGCCTCCAAACACTGTCTACTTCAATGTTATCACAGGTCTATGAACACACGTTTATAACTATTACAGACATGTTCTTGTTTATTTTGTTATAAAGATGAATGTATTGAACTATTCATGCAGTCTTAATGTCAACTTCCACTCAGGGATTCATTCTTTGATACAGCGCTTTAAAATACTTTATGCTTCATTAGTAATCCAACATGTAGCATTGAATCTGTAAGTGTTAGAACAACTCCCCCCCTCCACTTCGAACCAATGCAACGACTTCCAGAGAGTTGTATCTGTCATTGTGGTCATGTCAAGTAGGCTTCTTCATGAGTGTATCTGTCATTGTGGTCATGTCAAGTAGGCTTCTTCATGAGTGTATCTGTCATTGTGGTCATGTCAAGTAGGCTTCTTCATGAGTGTATCTGTCATTGTGGTCATGTCAAGTAGGCTTCTTCATGAGTGTATCTGTCATTGTGGTCATGTCAAGTAGGCTTCTTCATGAGTGTATCTGTCATTGTGGTCATGTCAAGTAGGCTTCTTCATGAGTGTATCTGTCATTGTGGTCATGTCAAGTAGGCTTCTTCATGTGCACTTCTAGAGTTCAGTAACAACCCTTTTTTTATCAATACAACTACTCAGAACTGAGACTCATTATACTTATATGTAATGTGAAGACTTAATTCTTCCCAACATTCACCATAACAAACTCATTCAAACTAGCAATACATTGAGTTATCTCACCTTTTACTCCTTGAGGTCCGAGATTTTTGCTTTAAAGGCTCAGGTCATCAAATTTTGTTTCTATTACCGATAGACTCAGTTCAAATCTCTATAGACAATGTGACACCTAAAATAGCAATTGCGTAAAAATAGAGAAAAAAAAAGCACTTTTAATAAATCTAGCCCATAGACTTATATATTACATCTAGACTGGAAACCGGAAACAAATTCTTATCCGCGATTGATCGATTCACAGACCTATATATGTAGAGATTTTTATGTACCTAACTCTTTTTCAAGCTCTAAGGAAAGACGCCACAATCAATCTTTTCTGTCTTAGAAAAGTAATTATCTTTAGTTTTCAAAGTTTAGAAATAATGCTAAATCATTTCTCGGATTTTCTTTAGAATGGGCTATTAATCACAGAGCTATATATTCACGCTAATATATAAAACAAAGCCATTTCCTGTTAGTTTCAATTGAGATAATGTTTAAAAAAACTTAGATCGAAATAATTCATGTCTGTTGATTTTAATTACCTTATGTACTTTTAAATAGATGATTACCAAGATCTTTCTAGATTATGTATCTAAAAATTGCGCAATAATAATTATGAGACGAGAGTACTCTTATGCTTGATGTTCAATTACTAGATCTAGATCTAAAAAATAAATTATATGTTACATAGGTTAGGGTTAAAAAAAAAAAAGACATTACTTATTATAACTACTTTAGAAAACAACGCCTTGTTTCAACTTTTTAAAAAATTTCACATTTTTGTAGTTTTTAAAGATCTCCATGTCCAGTCTAGATACAATATATATAAGTCTATGATCTAGCCTGTGAATCTTTAAAAAAAAAACAACACATAAAAAGGGACTAAGTAGACGCCAACTTTGTATTTGTATAAGTCAAAAATTTGCTTCAAAGAAATAGAATCCTATGGGTAGTTGTCATTTCAACTACAGCTAGTATCTGTTTTAATATGGTGCAAATAAATATGGTCGTCAATGTAGATCCTCGAATATTTTTTGTATGTCAAAAGATTATTTTTATTTTGGTCCTTATATTTTTATTGTTTTGTTAATGAATCTTATTTAATTAGATTACTTCATCAATAAGATTTGTGACAGACTTCATTGTTAATACATTTCCATGTCTGAATTTATAGTAAAAATAACAACAGTACATAATGTATAAGATGCATTTTTTATATAAATCTCTTGGTGATCATCTTTCTGACTAGATTGTGCCATTTTTTTAAATTTACCTAGAGATTTAGTCTCTATGTTTATAATTATGTCATGAAATGACTACATAAAAAGTATGTCATGTAAAACTTTAATGCGAAACAAACAAATCTTACAGTATTTCTTGGTATAATCAAGTGCTCGAATGGGTCAAAGGCAATCTGAATCTAGGTCAGTAATGGATCAAGTTTAATGATAGGTCTAGGTCAGTGATAATTCAAGAGTAATGATTGATCTAGAGCAGTAAAGAATCAAGGTTGATGGTGGCTCTGAGTAAAAATTCAAGGTTAAAGATAGATCAAGGTCATTAAAGAATCAATGTTAATGATGACCCTAGGTCAGTGAAAAATCAATGTTAAAGATTACTCTGGGTACAGTAGCCGTAATTTGCATGAACTTGTGACCTTTAACTACATAAATATTGACTTTTAATTACATGAATATTGCACTTTAAAGTATACAGACTTATACTTTTACTTACATAAACATTAGACCTTCTTTCGAGCACACAATCAAAACACAAATTAAACCAGTAGATATTCAGTATAAAAAAAAAAAGAAACCAATCCTTGCTATAAGAGTCAACATTATCAATTAAAACCAGATCTGTACAAGTTTTATAGGGGAACTAAACTAGAAATAAACTGACGATACTAAGGAAAAGAGGGGGGGGGGGCTAGCTTTAGGAATCAAGATTTTTTTTTTCCCCAACTACAGAACTTAAACCTTCAATGGTTCCATGACAAGATAATATGCACAGTCCAGAGTAACTACCGGGTACTTGGTCAAGGACGATGAGCTCGACCTTTCACGTGCCCCCCCCCCCCCCCCAACTTTCTTTATTATTGTATGCTATCAACGCCCTTGACTGTTTATTCACTCACACACACACGCAAGCACTGGCACACCTCTCCTCTCCTATACCTCAACCTTCCTCGTTGACACACATGTGCCAACGAAATTAATTCCACACCCTAAGAATAATGTCACGCCTCCCGAACCCTAGGTCAGAGAATGTGGTTCAAAGTTCAACAAGTGCGAACTCATCCAGGCCGTTACGAGAGGGGGGAGTCAACGAGTGCAGATTATTGCACGCCGGGCATCCCGCAGGCAAGGTAGCACGCATTTGTGGACACTTCTGCCCAGAGCAGTCACGCAGAGGTAAAAGGTGAAGTATCTTTAAAGATCTGAAGATCCAGGTCGTATTGTGGAGTAAAAGGCACACGCTTTCATGGCCTTTAGACTACGAGAACGTTATGTGTATAGCACAATGACCAGTTGAATATTCTCGCCTATGGATGTCCAGCTGATTTTAGCCATCGTTGAGCTCCTAGAGTCCCTTAGGGGGAGGGGGGGGGGGGGTCCTGTGACGATGCGCGTAACCGAAAATTTCCATTCATCAGAAGTCACTGCGTTACATTATCAAGAGACAAGTCGATCCCACTAAGGCGTGACGGCTATGCGCTTGACTTCCGAAGCGATGTGTCTCGGGTTCGAATCTCGATCAAGACTGGCATTTTAGAATTTCGGGATTTGTAAGAAGCCCCTTAATCTTCTAAAGTCCGAGAACCTGACACTGTTTAATGTAATATGTTTTAAGTTGCAATCCCGAGGAGATTGTGGTATTTTGTTCTCGATA